TGGCGCACTCACCACCAGTCCGACCTTTGCTGCTTCGTGTTTCAGGCGGGTGTATAGTTCGACCACCGTTCCAAACGTTCTTGCGATAATGTCCATGTCGTCCGCAAAGCACACAAATTGACCGGATTTCGTGAAAATCGTACCCTGGCTGTTGAACCCGGCTCGTCGCATTACACCTTCTAGAGCAATGTTGAAGAGTAGGCATGAGAGTCCGTCACCTTGTCGCAGTCCCCGGCGAGATTCGAATGAACTGGATAGTTCACCCGAAACCCTTACGCAGTTTTGCACACCGTCCATCGTTGCTTTGATCAGTCTGATCAGCTTCCCAGGAAAGCCGTTCTCGTCCATGATTTTCCATAGCTCTGTGCGGTCGATACTGTCGTATGCCGCCTTAAAATCGATGAACAAATGATGCGTTAGGACCTGGTATTCATGGCATTTCTGGAGCATTTGCCGTACGGTGAAGATCTGGTCCGTTATCGATCGGCCGTCAATGAAGCCGGCTTGATAACTTCCCACGAACTCGGTCATTTTAGGTGATAGACGACGGAAGATGATCTGGGATGGCACTTTGTAGGCGGCATTCAAAATGGTGATCGCTCTGAAGTTCTCACATTCCAAATGGTCACCTTTCTTGTGAATGGGGCAGATTACAACCTCCTTCCAGTCCTCCGGTAGCTGTTCTGTTTCCCAGATCCTGACTATCATCCGGTGCAGGCAGGTGGCCAACTTTTCTGGGCCCATCTTGATGAGTTCGGCTGCGATACCATCCTTACTAGCTGCTTTATTGTTTTTGAGCTGCTGAATGGAGGCCTTAACTTCCCTCAGCGTGGGAGTTGCGTCAGTTCTGTCCTCTGCTGCACTGACGTAGTCGTTTCCTCCATTGCGCTGATCTCCCGTGTCTACGTTCTCCTCGCCATTCAGGTGCGCATCGAAGTGCTGCTTCCACCTTTCAATCACCTCACGTCCGTCCGTCAAGAGGCTCCCGTCCTTATCCTTGCACATTTCGGCTCGCGGCACGAAGCCGTTGCGGGATGCGTTGAGCTTCTGGTAGAACTTCCGTGTTTCTTGGGAAAGGTACAGCAGTTCCATTTCCTCGCACTCCGCTTCTTCCAGGCGGCGTTTTTTCTCCAGAAAGATGCGGGTTTGCTGTTTCCGCTTCTGTTTATACCGTTCCATGCTGCAGCATTACCGCCCGCGCTGCATTCTTCTCCTCCAAAATCGCTCTGCACTCCTCGTCGAACCATTCATTCCGTCGACTTCTTTCCACGTACCCGATGGTACTCTCGGCTGCGTCGGTGATGGCTGCTTTTACTGTACTCCAGCAGTCCTCTAGAGGGGGCACATCGAGCTCGCCCTCCTCTGGAAACGCTGCCTCGAGATTCTGCGCGTATGCTAAGGCGACATCCGGTTGCTTCAGTCGCTGTAGGTTGTACCGTGGCGGGCGTCGGTACCGTACATTGTTGATGACGGAAAGTTTTGGGCGCAGTTTGACCATCACCAGGTAGTGGTCAGAGTCGATGTTAGCGCCACGATAGGTCCTGACGTCGATAATGTCGGAGAAGTGCCGTCCATCAATCAGAACGTGGTCGATTTGCCTTCTTAATCAGCGTTGTAAACTTCAAAACACTCTTTCTCACAAAACCCAAGATGAAATATTTTAGAACCATCACAGATTTGTTTGTTAGGATCAATACTAACATCCTGTGAAGAAAAAACTGAGGTACATGAATGTTGCAAAAAAAGACCTTCAGACATAGCGTGGGGGGGTTGTTGACAAAAGAAAAACTTGATATTTGTTCCGGCCTTATAGAGATTTTTAGCCATATGGCTTCATCTCTTATTGTTCATTAAAGAGAAATCCATCAAAGCGATACATTTAAGCTACATATGTAATTTGAAAATGGTTGCATTTACTCCAACTAAGACACCCCAGTTGAGTATGTTTGATATCATTAGAAAGGATAAAGGTGGTTATGGAGGTAAAGAAGAAACAGGTAGAGATTAAGAGACTCGAGCATAAGAAGAACAGTATAGATCCAGAAACGTCAGCACCAAGCCAGCGCAAGTTTTTGGCAGTGATGCCAGTTTTCTTTTGAAGATAAATTTAGTAAATGTTACCTCTTGAAAATGACAAGAGAGCCAAGGCATCTCACTGGAGACACACACCACCAACTAATCTGGCGAACACAGAAAAAAAATTAGTTGCACATTGGTCAATGTGGTTGTTGTGTAGTATTACCACCGGTTGGAAACTAACGATTTTAAATTGGCTCACTACTTGACTACCCTATTGGTACCAAGGAAATCGAAAAACGTACTCCATTCTAGTCGAAATTCTAGTACTACACTATGTTTGTTTTGATTCGCTATGAAAGTTTGACAGATAAAATGAGGGGTTCGTGGATTTTCCTATGTTTCCAGGGGTGCATGGATTAGCTTGGGACCGAAGAGCTGAGCCAAAAAGTTGAGCAGTTTCTTCGGTACCTTCTAGTCTAAGAGTTACCTCTATGGAGTTACGCTGTGCGATGTACACAGAATTTGAGATAAAATAATTTTGATGATTGTTATATTGTATCCACTTTTACCATTTGATTGTCTGTGAGTGAAGGTAACAAAAACGTGTTCCTTGCCTCCTCTTTCCGTGAAGCCATTCTTCTCAAGATTCTCAAGATACTACGAGTGATGTTTTTTTTATGGAGGAGAGAGATGTGCGGTATTCAATACCCTCCGCATAGAGATTCTAGCCGCTTACTACTTCCTACTACAGACTACGAGAGCACGCAGCGATCGTCGCTCGTCCCCTTCCTCATCGTACCGTCATTGCGAGTGGACGCTTCGGTAAGTGCAAAACCTGCAACCGGATTCCTAAGTCAATGACAGAACTTCACACTGAAGATATTCAGTATTTTCCGAAGTGACTGCAGTGTTTCCTACCTTTTCTGAAGTTATTCAGTACTTTGTGAAGTGACTCTTAACATTTCTGAATTAACTGACGTGATTTCAGACTATTCTGAATCGATTCAGTTCGTTCAGAAGTGAAATTACAAACTTTTCTGAAGTGATTTAGTACTTTTCTGAAGTGAGTAACTACTTTTCAAAGTGATTCCGAACTATTCTAAACTGATTCAGTACTTCAAATTATACGATTTTGATTATTTTTTCCCTGAACATGTTTGTCAGGCGCGCTAGCCATTTCAAATTTAACCTATTTTTAAATTTTTCCCTGAACTTGCCTACCAGAAGCGGTAGCCAATTAAACTAAAAATAAATGTGTTTAATTGGTCCCTGATTGTGTATATCTGGGGCGCTAACCACCTAAAATTTTAAGATTTTTTATCAATTTTAACCCGAAAAGGTTTACCAGGGGCACAATTTATTTCAAGTTTATTTTTTTCCCTGTATATGTTTACCAGGGGTGCTCGTATTTTACATTTTTTTTCCCTTATCATGTTTGCCAGGAGTGTAAGACATTATAAATTTTAAATTTTTCTTTATCTTGTCTACCAGGGACACTTCAAATTCAACGATTTTAATCATTTAAAAAAAAATGCTTAATAGGGGCGCAACTTATTTAAAATAAAACCTCATTACATTTTGTTCAGAACGTGTTTATTATGGGCGCAGCCATTTCAAATTGAACATTGTTCTCAATTTGTCCCTGAATGTGTATGTCAGGGGCACAAGCCTTTTAAAATTTTACGATTTGATAATTTTTCCCTGAACTTGCCATTTTAAATTTATCGATTTTTCAATGAACATATATATCAGAGACGCTAGATATTGGATTGGATTGCTGAACTTTACCTGTTGTAAACTTTTGTCGGTTTGGAGCTAAGCAGTCGTCGACTACCCTCGACTACCCACAACCACAAGTGCTGTCGTGGGTATTTTGGAGAATTTATTGAAATCAGACTTAAGTCAATGAGAAAAGAGCAGTTCCACGCAGTGCGCGTGGAACTGCTCTTCTCTCATTGACTTAAGTCTGATTTCAATAAATTCTCCAAAATACCCACGACCCGGATTTTCCTCAATAAACAACAGATTATCATCACTTGTGTTGAAAAAATGTGTTTATCCCTCACACAGCCATCATCAATCCCATTTCCAACGCGAACAAAGCACTTTCTGACGAGGATTACGTGATAGATGAGCAGACATACTGCACAAGTCTCCTCCTTCCATGGCACCACGTTCACCACCTTAATGATACTGCCGTTTGCATTCACACCCACTCAACCAGCCTCCATTCCAAACATTGATTACAATTAACACTCCACCACCATTCGGCATGAGCGGCGGACGAAGCAGCGGCCGCGAGGCAAACATTAATCAGCATAATTTGTCGTCGTTTTGCTCGGTTCTCAAATGTCTTCGCGTGACGTGTCGTGACAGGGCAGACAGAAGCAGCAATAGCTGGAACCCGGTGGCGGCAGCAATGACGCAGCTTGCACATAGTCGTGCCTTTTGATAAAAATGTGTGATTAATTATCGTGATTTTTTTTTGCTTTTGATTGTTGTGTTGTTTGAATTAGAATGAGAGGAAATTATGGGGAAGGTCACAGAGATATTAATTACTACATGCGGCATGATTGAGCACTTGAAAATTAACGCCCGGCATCGAAACTCGTCAGTTCAACAAGCTGGAAACATGTGTTTTTCACTGAACTCGAGTTCCAATAAATTCAATTTTGAGCAAACAATGGCAATTGATTTTCGCAGATTTTTTTTGCTCCGTTCGGGTTTGTTGGTTTGTACATACCCGAGTAAAAACAAATATTTTGATTTCAATATTAACCTCCCGTTATTTGTATTTTGAATAAATTAACTTACTGTTGATACCCTACCAAAAAAAATGCTACCGTATGCATCAATTGTTTTACCCGACTAACATGAACTAACCCGCACAGCTGCCTTGAGTCTGTCTGTCCCTCAGCAACCAACCGCCCAGCAAAGCTAACCTCAAGCAATTGGTCTTCCCTACTTTCCCTACTTCACAGTGCGGCGATCGTCGATCAGCAAAATCACCAGCAGCAGCAGCACCACCACCACCACCGTTGAGATCGAGGAATGCGAATCCTTTTCGCTGGGCAGCTTACGAGCATCACTGGCAGCAGCAGCAGCTGCCAAGAGGCAACGATCATCGGAGAAATCGTCGTCCACTTCCTTGTCGACGCTTTCACCACCGTCACCGGCAGCGGAGTCCCTCGCGGAGGAGAAGCTGAACGGTAGCCGTGAGCCAACAATCATCAGAGCTAGGGAACAGTCGTTGGAAAAGGTTGGCGATTCGGTAGAATTGGGTTCCACGAAAACCGATGGAGAACGAGTAGTTAGAGATGTTCCGCATTGCGAACCTTCCGCGGTTGCAGAGAAGCTTAGCAACGAGATTGATAGGGACGAGCGTCAAAACAGAGACCAGGAACAGTCATCAAAGGAGGTCATGATGGTTTCCACAAATGGAGAAGTAAATGGTATTGAAAGCGTTAGTGAAATTCAGGGAATTCCCGTTAATGCACTGGTTGCAGAGTCTAACGGTAAAGAGGAGCTGAGCAACGAGTTTGAAACGTGCAAAGGCCAAGATCAGTTGTCTTCGGCGAGTTGTAAAGATGATCAGGTGGATTTGGGCTCCAAGCAGGTCAATGGAGAAGTCTTGATGTATAGCGCCGTTTGTAAAATTGGTGATGTTCTGGAAATTCCAGCCAACACCTGCGCGGATGCTACGAATTGTATACCTCTACCGGCGAGAGAGTTCAATGAAAAAGAGAAGCTATGCAATAAGAATGAGTTAGTCGAGTTACAGGAAGCCTTGTCGGTTGTCACACCTGATGCAGTGAATTGGATTTCCAATACCCTTGACGAAGAAAAGGAAGTAGAAAATGTTGTTAATGAAATTAGCGATGAGTGCGCCGATATAATCCAGGATCGGTTTACCACAGACTGCGTTGATATTCAAAGCTATGAAAAGCTAGAGCTCGCACCGAACGAACCGGTGCGTAGAGTTGAGCTTCCAACCAGAGACCGAGAACGATCACCGATGAAAACCACAGTTAACTCAACAGTCTTGAGTTCGCAGCAACTCGAAAATGAAGTAGCCAAAACCGATGCTACCAGTGTGGCCAGTGTCCGAAAAATCCCTTCCAAAGACTGCACAGCTATTCAGGAGAGTGAAGAATTGAAAGTTACCGAGACCGATGCGTCCCCTCGCGTATCACCTTCGTTCGGTTCGTACCAACATCCCCAGAACATCAACGGATTCAACGAATCCGCCCCGTCCAGCCTGGCTTGGTCCTATCTGCCGCACCTAGCAACATCCCATTCGACCTCTTCCCTGGCATCGCTTCGAGCCCGTCCCACTCCCGACAATTCCTCGGATTCTACCAGCCCACAGCCACAATCGGCGGTGCAACGCCGGCAGCTGAAATCCTACGCCCGACGCCATCATCGTTCCAGCTTCCAACTGTTTCCCTGAATCGTCAGCGGGTCATTAACTTCCCAGCTCAACTACGATCCGAATCAAATATATATGTATGTTATGGTAAAACCCATTGTAGTGCGCGTATAAAATATTCACATCACATCCCCCGAGAGAAAAAAAAAACACCCACGCCGTGTGCTATCCATATCCGTGACTGTGTGGATCGCACACATTTCCCAAAACTACGACTGTTTTCCACCTGCACGTGTGACATCGCGCAGTGCCCCCGTTGTTATTGTCATTATCGTCGTAATCATCACCATCATCATCACCATCATCATCATCATCATCATCGTCCCGGCGAGGCTCTTTGATTTGATTGAAGTCGGATGCGAGCGTGATCTGCTCATAGCTGCGAAAATTGCAGCAATTAAGGCGAGTGAGCAGCCATCTCAGTACCACCCGAAAACCGTGGCGTGGCTGGGTGACGTTTATGCGTTTCAGTCGGGTCGGGGTGGCCGGGGATGCGCATGGTGGTGTGGAACGTGATGGAAAACATTTTCCGAGTCGAAGTTGCACTGCAGCGCTGTAGAATGCGGTGGGGAGGGGTAGTTGGATGATCGGTGGATGGAGAGGTTGTTTACTCTATCGACAATGCCGGGACGGTTCGGTCGGTCGTTTGCTCTGTGATGGAATTTGTTGATTTGCGGGACGTTGTTGATGGTGGGAACGTGATGCATTTTTCCCGTTCGACGAGAGCTTCGAGTGTGCCGATGCATTCCTAGTGTTTTCGGGGTAAAAAAAAGTACTTGTCTCTTGGCTCCGAGCGAGTAGTTGAGTGCGAAATTATTCCAACTATGAGCGTGATGAAGCAGCTTGAGGAATGTGAATGCTACACTGGGATGGGATCTAGGATCACTTTGCGACGCTTGCAGATAAAATCGAATGGGGTCAAATGAATTCAAGGGAAAATGGATTTATGTACTTTGCCGTCAGTTGAAAATGTCAAAGAAGTCTGGATTTCTCAGAATAGATTGAATTAATTTATTAACTGGAAAGACTTCGACCAATATCGTTGTCGAAGGAAATATTGCTAAGGTTCACTTCGTATGACCTTGTAATCTTACTTTTTTCCTAATGAAAATAAGATTTGGTGGAATTGTACATGTTATTTCGTGATTCAAAATATCGAATTTTTTCCACCCCACTCAATCGATTCCCAATCAGGTCCTGATTACTCCATCATAATTTGAGCTCATTTGGATGCGAGCTCGTACTGCAGAGGCCCGTTGAAGTCTAAATGGCAAATGCTAAGGGAACTTTTTGTTAACTTTTTGTAATCATTGTGCTAGCCCTTCGCCATATTGGTGTGAAATTGTTGCTGTTAATATTTTGCTCGAGACCACATTTTAATCTAACGTCAAGAATTTCAACATAGAATTCGTAGTATTTTGATATGTCAGTCCCCCATTTTGTTTATGCCCCGTACATATTCCAGGAAATTTTGGAAATGAGTATCTAGAGTGAGACATGCGAAATTGAGAATGAATTTAAAGCAGACATGTGACGAATTTTTGGAATAGAAATAACTTACAGTTTAGGCTCGATCTTATGTATAATCAAAATCAAAATTGTTATTTTTAAAGCATAAAACAGCCGCTGGTGGAGTGATAAGCGTGATTACCTCTCACCCCAGCAGGCCTGGGTTCAATCCCAGTCGGCGCCGCCGGGATGTTCTGAGGCATAACATCTCTGATCACGCCTTCCTTCGGAAAGGAAGTAAAGCCGTTGGTCCCCGGTTCATGAGTTGATGGGTCGATAGGTAGGGTCCAGGTGTGGGAGCTGCCTTCCTGGCACGTCGGTAGCATTGGTGCTCAGCACGGAAAACAAGATCGACGGAAAAAACAAACCAAAGGAAAAAAAAAGCATAAAACTGGGGCTGGTCCATCTCCGATTCGTGGGTGTTTCCAACAATTTTTACCATGCTTTTATAGTCAGGTATTCTGGAGATATCTTGCTATCCAACAATCCAAATCACATCTCTGAAATTTTCTCATGTGATACCAGCTAACTCAGAAATTATGCCAAAGACTTTCAAGTGATTGAGGATATTGCTGAGGATCGCTGAATATTTTTCAAGACTTCAGGATGATCAGGTATTATTCTGAAGATTTTCATCTGTCCAACAATTCAATTCACGTCTCTCACGATTTCCTCACTTGCTTAGAAATTATCCCAAATACTTTCAGGTAATCAAATACATTGATGAAGACCGCTGGAAATCTTCATGATGGTGAGGTATTATTCTGAAGATCGTCAACTATCCATGTTTTCAATTACCGCCTCTGAGATATCCTTTCGCCATTTTAGGTGGTTCAGAAAATATTCTGAATATTCTGCCTATTATTCTGAAGATCTCTAATTGTTTAATACAACAAATCATGTCTCCAAGATATTTCCGCAAGAAAGTAGGTTGTTCTGGGATTGTTCAAAAAACCTTCAGATGATCAAAGACCTGCATCATGTTCTCTGTTCTCTGTATATTTTGTCATGAATTTAGGTCGATCAGGTTTTACTCTGGAGGTCTCCATCCATCCAGTAATTCAAATCTCAGATATTTTTCAGAGAGCAGGTTGAACAGTAATCATTCAAATGTCCTTTGGTTGGTCAAACTTGCATAATGTCCGCTGGATAGTATTGCAATTCTTCTGATTGATTAATGATTATATTGTCATGTCTCTTAGATATTCTTGCAAAAAAGGCAGGTTGATCAAGAATTATTCCAAAAACGTTTATTTGATCAATGATGGTCATCAAGTCATTCGAAGCTAGTACTACTTATCAGGTATTACTTTGTAGATAAACAACTAATATTTAGTTCAATTCATGTTTCTAAGATATTTCTTTCAGAAAAGAGGTAGATCCGGAATTATTCCCAAAACCTTGAATTGATCAACTGTAAAAATTCTTCTGAATATTTTGTCAAGACATCAGGTTGATTATAAATGATTTCAAAGAACTTCAGTTAATCATTGCTCTCCAAAAAGTTCTTAGGATATTTTGTCAAGACTTCTCGTTGATCTGATATTGTTTTGGAGATCTTTAATTGTTAAAAAAATTAATTCATATTTCTTAGGTATTTTCTCAAGATAGAAGGATGATTAGGAAATATTTCAAAATCTATAAAGGATCAAAGTTCTTCATATTGTTTTCTGGATCATTTTTCAAGACTTCAGATTGATATTGAATTATTCTGAAGATCTCAAAATGTTCAATAGAATAATAATGATAATGAATAATGATATCTGTGAGATATTTTTGGAAAATAGCAGGATAGCAGAAATCCAAAAACGTTAAATTGTTCAATGACCAGCGTATAATATGTTGATAGATCTTTAATTGGTCAATAATTCAAACCATGTTTCTCAGACAACTTCTCAGGATTACAAGGACATCAGCAATTTTTTCACAGACCTTTATTTTTTTTTTAGCTAGTTCGTTTATTTACTAGGCTCAGTTGTGTGTGACACTTTGCGGAGCCAAAATCAGTAATGTTTGATTTATATTTTAAATAGCAGTATTTCGAGGTTAGAATTGGGTACCAATTACTCGTGGCGGGCTCGAGGTTAATGGGTAACAATTTCGATTGGAAGGTTCTAGGTAGGAAATTGGTTTCTGAAGCCTCCTTCAGATACTACTCTCGAACGGTTGACCAAATCCTGGCTTGGCAGGGCCAATTAGCACAGGAACAGGAGGATAATTAGACTGGGACACAATGGCGGGAAATTGCTTGGAAAGGAGCGGATAGTCACATCAGACAAACAAAAGAATTCGTATATCGCTTGCATGTAGGGAAGATCACGTGTTCCCAATACATCTCTTACTTCACGGAAGGGTTGTCTACCTCGGGCCATTAGGGTATCCAATAGTCGTGATCCTGTATAAAGTCCTTTGGATATTTTGTGAAGACTATTGGTTGATCAGGAATTGTTCTGAAGATCTCAAACTGTCCAGCATTTCAAATCATGTTCCTAACATCAGGATCAGGTTGATCAGAATTATTTTCTTTTATAAAGTCTTTTAGATATTATGGCAGACAAGACTCTATATTTAGTGTCTATCACAGGGCCAAAAAAGGTTGACCTGCAAGGAGGTATCGAATTCTCCACGGAGAAAACTGAGTTGGTCGTTTTTTTCTAGGAAGCATAGCCCAGCTTCAACTTCTGGGTAAACCGATCACTCATTCCATGCCTTTTAAATATCTCGGGGTCTGGTTCGATTCCAAATGCACCTGGAGATCCCACATTGATTATCTGAGACGAAAATGCCAACTAAGAATCAATTTCCTTTGATCAATTACCGGAACGTGGTGGGGAGCCCATCCACAAGATCTTCTGACGTTGTACCGGACAACGATTTTATCGGTTCTAGAATATGGTAGTTTTTGTTTCCAGTCGGCAGCTAAAACGCACATCATCAAGCTGGAACGGATCCAGTATCGTTGTCTTCGTATCGCGTTAGGATGCATGCACTCGACTCATACTATGAGTCTCGAAGTGCTGGCGAGCATATTGCCACTATCCGTCCGTTTTTCAGAGTTATCTCTGAGGCTCCTCACCCGTTGCGAAGTAATGAACCCACTGGTGATCGAAAACTTTGAGAAGCTTCTGGAGCTAAATCCTCAAACATGTTTTATGACTTTGTACTACCTATACACATCCTAACACAGGATGTCAGCCCTTCAAGAAATATTCCCAATCGTGTAGTCTTCTCCGATTTCGACAATTCAGTGAATTTTGATTTATCTATGACGCAAGAAATCCGCGGAATTCCAGAGCATCATCGTCCTATGATTGCTCCGTCATTATACTCTGCAAAGTTTGGCCATGTTGATTCTGCAAGAACGTTTTTCACAGATGGATCTCTAATAGAGGAGTCCGCTGGTTTTGGTGTATTTAATGATTTTCATAGCGCCTCTCGAAAACTTGAAGCTCCTTGTTCTGTATATGTGGCTTAACTGGCAGCAATTCACTACACTTTGGAAACTATTGCTTCACTTCTTCCAGACCACTACTTTATTTTTACGGATAGTCTCAGTTCTGTCGAGGCTATCCGTTCCATTAGGCCGG